GTGAATTGACATTATAAGGTCTACGCAGGTCACTGTCGGAAAACGGAGTGTCCCTTGCCCTTGCTGTCCGAGAATGGAATGGAAGTGCTAAGATGAGGTCTAAATGAAATGCAAACTTTTAACATGCCAAAAACTAGAACATGCAGTTCTTGTATCTCTGACGTGTATTTACTGTCCTGTGCCAGAATATCCCAGTTGTTCCCTGTCCACCATTTCAGCACTTGTGGACGAGCCTGGGATGACTGTAACAAGCGTGTCTGGAATAAGCCGACACCCTGCGTCCTTTCACAGCCGAATCCAGTAACTGGATGTCTTTCAGCTCTCCTGTGTTATGTTGTAGAAGAAGCAGAGACTTCAGGCAGGGCAGTCTTGTCATCTTTTTTGTGATTCTGGGCAGCATTCAGAGGTGCAAACCTCTTTGTGCTTCATCTCACAGACTCTCAGTTGTACCCTGTGTGAAGGTGTCTTCCACCCGCACTTGTTCTTCTGCTGAGAATGTCGTTGTTCATGCTGTCTGCTGGTAGTTTTGCCAGGTTAATGTCTGTTAATGTCAGATAACCATTTGGATTGGCCACTTCACTGGATTAACCGACCTTAAACAGCCCATCATGGTACCGCAGCTGAACTGTTGAACTCTGAGTGATCTGTCATTTTAATCAAGAAAGAAACACAAATATAAGCTTGCAAAAAATAATTTAATAATTTAAAATAAGTTAATGGGAAAGTTGCATGGTCAATTTTTCTCCTTCAGCCCACACATTTCTGTAAAATGCATGACTAAAGTTTCTAAAGCCAATGCTAACGACAACAGATCACACAAATATTGAAGTAGATAATAGTCCTTTTCTTAAGCTTAGCTGGGAAAACAAAAATCCGAATGATTCCATTTCCTCAATTGGTGCTGTGTACGCAGGCTGACAGTCCTTGGTTGATTACGATATTATTAGACACATTTAATTGCTATATATTTGCACATAAGCCCTTTCCCAAAATGTAACAGACTGCCTGTAACATGCGTGGTAATGAGACGGTGACTAATAAGGCAATCAAATCAACATGTTCTTTCCAAATATGGCACCAGGCTGTAAGAATGGATATGGAGCTGCTTTCATGCTGGAGTGATTTATGATCGTTATTGAGAGTCTAAGTACAAACACCTGGGCTCACGCTCTGCCGGCTAATTGAAGCAAACCTAAGAGCTGGAGGAGTGCAAGCTCTGTGAAAGGGCAACACCGTTCGCATGAGCCCAAGAAAGAGCTTGAACAGCTGTAAAAGACATTACCGACGATTTGCAAAGACAAAGCCGTGCTCTAATCTGAGACAGCTGAAACCAGAAAAGCCTGGAAAAGTGTCTCCATGATTTTCTTTTTATTCACTGGCACTTCACTGCTTGTTCGTGAACCACCAGGTAATAATTTTATTATTGTTAAGACTTACGCATTCAGAGACACAGAGGTTTAGTCTGACAGGATCCTTCTCCCCATTAAACCATGATGTGAGAATTAAACACCCAGCCTGCAACTGTGGGAAGGGCTCCAATAACAGTCACGATATTCACTTTTTAGAATCAGGTCCTTTAACATAAAACTGTTGAGTTGGTTGTTAAATTATGTTGAAATCTGGTGCTTTGTAGGGAGTCAGTGCAGAAACTTTCCACTCTCCCCCAGAGAGTCCCCACAGTGCACCCTCCGACTCTCCAGTGCGGCCAATACTGGTGCAGGCAATCCACAGTCCTGGGGTTTGATTCGCCTGCAGTCTGAAGGGTGGGGCTGCTGTGTATGATTCTGGAGTCGATGTAATATGTGATTGTCTTGAAGCACGGATGACTCTTGAGCCTGATTTGAGTTGTCTTAGATCAGCCGATACTGCAGAGAGCTTCTGCGGGGAGTGTGCAGGCTTATAAAACACAGCCTCATCCACAGGAAGGGCAGGTCTGCATCTGCTCCTGCTGAAGGCGGCGGGAGGCGCGCGGCCCCTCGAGAACAGAAACTTATTCATCTTATCTTCAGAGATCCAAGGACCACCGCGGCAACAAGGAGGCACAAACGTTGCCAAGGCTACAGGCCCCTATCTGGAAAGTGCCAAGGTGACTGCTTGTCCTTGGTGAGTGAATGCACTACATAGCTATGTTGCCAGAGTACTGCACACACATAGACACAATGTGGGGAAATAAAGTATCAGTCAAACTTGAGAGCAACCTGCCGCTCTCTCTGTGCTCTGACTCAGGACTGGCACAGTACAGCTAGTCCCTCTTCAATATGACTTCTAACAAAGAACAATTTGAAAACTGAGAGCACAATGCTCATCTTTACTCTAAGGGAGTCTGTAACAAGCTGGCCAGCCATATGGTTGAGCCCAGAACCCTGCCTAATTGATCCAATGAGCTCATCATTAATGATCCACATACATTTTCATCTATCAGTTAGTTGCTAGGGGACCTTCCCTCAGCTTCAGTGAGACCAGAGTTGAGGTTCTGCGTGCTAGCTCCCGATATACATCTACTGTACATCCATTTACATCTCTATAACACTGCTTGCCTAAGATCCTTACCTTCCTGTCTGTTACTGAAACATTGATACATGCCATGTTTTACTTGCTGGGGTGTCTTCTAAGGGGTTTAGGTATGCACAGCACTGTCTTCCTGTGAAATTCAAAGTGGACTTTAAAGTTCTCCTGCTCCCATATACTGTAAGGCACTGAATAGTCTAACCCCAGATTATTTTAAACTCTTACTGCATTACTACAGTCCAACTCTTCACCTCAGCTCATTCTGGTTTTCTTATTTAGCAAAAGAAAAGGTTTTACACATCAAGTGACAAAGCTCTGTCACTGTGCCAAAAACGTTTCTTCACAATGGGCACTTCTCCCTCTATTGAGGACCAGACTCCACACACTGGGAGACAGTCTTCTCACTGTGCTGAAGACCAGACTCCACACACTGGGAGACAGTCTTCTCACTGTGCTGAAGACCAGACTCCACACACTGGGAGACAGAGTCTTCTCACTGTGCTGAAGACCAGACTCCACACACTGGGAGACAGAGTCTTCTCACTGTGCTGAAGACCAGACTCCACACACTGGGAGACGGAGTCTTCTCACTGTGCTGAAGACCAGACTCAAACACTGGGAGACAGAGTCTTCTCACTGTGCTGAAGACCTTAAACATTGTGGTTAAAAAGAACTTTTGTGCTTTGTCATTCAAATCAATTAAAAGCTCTGTAAAAATCTTTTTTTTTAGATTCACCAAAAGTCGTTGTAGCAACGTTTTTAGTCTGTAATCTAGTCTTTTTCTTGGTTTGAGGATGTCTAAATCTTTTGTGTTTCCCTTTCATTTTTCTTATGGTCGGGGCTCTGTGTTATGCTGTACATTGTTTCGAGTGAGAAGAGCTGAGAAACAAAACTGCAGATGTATTTGTTACCAACTTTCAACATTGAAGGGGCATGGATTGTATTATTATGATTATTATTAAAAGAACAGGGGACACTCTTTAAACAAAGGGTTCTGGGAGTTTAACAAAAATAGAAAAACAAAACATTTGGATTATTATAATTAGTGAAACTAGTTATGTGAACAGGTCTGAATGAATTGGCGAATACTCACAGGCGTCTGTCTGAGTGAACATAATTCTGTTTTCACATTCTCGGGTGACCAATGACGTGGTTCCTGAGAGATCGAAGCGTGAGAATATTACACTGCTGAGCGATGTCATTAAGCACCATGTACTGAGCCGTGAAAAACACGTATCTCTAATGCTGTAGTAAACGCAAGTCTGTCAAATGCTTTAATACAAGCTTGCGTTATATCCTACTTTTATCTCGCTCTAAAAGCACAATAAATGTTCATGAACTCCCGGGGGCGTAATCCCTGATGTTTTCTCTGTTACGTAATAACAAGACAGAGGCTCGGGGATGAAGAGTTTCCCCTTTCCTTGTCACGAGGAGAGAAATCTGATGTTTAATCGTGCGTTTCGAGTATTAATAAAATTCCCTACCAAAGAGTACGACTCTCCCGGGTTATTTCTCGTAGAGCTTTCTAGATATGAGAGAAAGCGCGGCGATGGGCGGATTTCTGCTGTGTTATAGAGCAGGTCGGTCAAAGAGAAGCTATCTGCAGCACAGTGGAGGGACGGGGCAGGCGACGCGCCCGGGAGCTGTCCGGCTCCGCGGTGCTGAAACACCTCGCCGGTGTCTCCGCGAGTCTCCGCTCACCGCTTCACAACCGCTCCGGCATCGCGGTGATACTAAGCCAGCCATGGGCGATTTCTGCGATTTAAACACGTATGAAAGATCGCCACATGAATGGTGACTGTTGCGCTGTAATGATTTTTGAGGGGCTGGAGTAGATTTTAAGTAATCTTTCAGACTTTATTTTTTATTAAACTATAATGGCAATAAGATGAATGCGTGTCTTGTCAAACACACCCTTTGATACTTAATGCATCTGCCAGCAGGGCTGAAAGTATAGATATGTGAATGCAATAAGGGGATACTTTACCTGACCTAGCCCATCCAGCAGATAGATTCCATGATTCCGTTCTGACATTTATGGCGTTGTCTTTCCTATAGAGACCAGCGGTGTTGTTTGTTTTTCAGTTTAGAGAACATTTTCCTTCAATGTTCTCTAAAATGAAAAGCAACACTGCCAGGACAGACCCAGACACATGCAAAAACACACATTAATGTAAATACTATTGAGCGCACACGGACAGTATATGGCAATTGGATACAGGGAAGAAATAAATCTTGCTTATTTGTGTAGATAACAGATTCTATGTTCGATTAAGGACAGAATACACAGAATTTACCCGAAAGATTAGGCAGGTATGGTCTGTCTTCTCTTTTTTAATCAAAACGGAGGAGGTTATTTTTAGATCTATCCCGCCTTCTTCCCTTGAGATTAGAGAATGGATTTTACTCCAGGTAGACTCGAATCTGACGTCAGAGCCTTTCGTAATCTGACGTGTGAGCACTGTTTCCCTCCCAGTTCACACTGTAGCAAGCACGTTTATTCAGTAAAGCAACACCGCTGCTTTTGGTTCGCGTCTTAGGAACTCTTTTTGAGATCTTATATTTGTAGTTATATATACATACAAATATTGTATTATTTTTCTGCAGGAGCTTTTGTAAATATCTAAATCTATATTTGTACAATGGATGCGCGATGCTGCTGGTCTCTGCGATCCGCTGTTCTCGCTGCCTGTGTGATCCTGTGCTCTGTGGACATTTCTGCCGGTGAGAGACAGTATGTCAATGAATGGGCAGTGGAGATTCCCGGCGGTCTGGAAGCAGCCAGGGCGATTGCCGAAGAATTAGACTACGAATTAGTCCGACAGGTAATCCCGCTACTTCATTCCCATCGTACAGTATGTGCCAATTGAAACGGAATCGCTAGGACTCTGTTGCACACCTAGCCCTCGGACTGTGTGTTTCGAGCTGTTTGGTCCGCAATCGCAGATAAAAAGCGGACTGACGAGAGGTCTTTGATCCTTATCATTGATTATGCTCTGGCTCCTGTGTGTAAACATGTATCGAAAAGAGATCTTGGGGGGGTATTAGGCTTTTGAATGATACTTTAATATCTTTATGCGATTTCAACTGCTTGAAGAGCGAGCGGCGTCAGTCCTGTTGCTGAGGATCGCTACTCCTCGCTCCGGCAGCCGATCGCTTCTCTCTTAATAATTCATCGCCTCTCTGACAGGAAAGGCACTCAGGCGTAGATTGCGGAATGTGTTTATGATTCCTTGAAGTTTGGGAATCTGACATGCTTTCGGAGCAATCCAGAGGTTATAGACGTGCTTTCTCTGTAATCTTAAATACAAGGAGCCCAGTGGGCATTCTTCGACACGTAGGGTTTTACGTTTAAAATAATAAAAAAAAATGTTATACTCGTAGCGTTTGATGTTACATCTCGATAAAGCTGTGGTCTGTGTCCACTAGTTGTGCATTTTGTCTTGTAAGAATTTCCGTAATTCGAGGGAAGAGAAATAAACTGCAGCACACGACTGTTTCAACACCTACTGTATCTTATTCTCCTATCTTTTGCGTGGGCTGAATAATAAGACGGAACGAAGCTCATCTACTGTAGCTGGTGTCTGAACTGGTTAATGGATAACAACGTTTTTATTGCTTTTCCTGGAGGCACAGGATCTCGTTCATTTTTATCCAGTTTAACAGTGTTAGTCTGTCAGGCTGTGAGTCGACCGAATAAAATTTCCCGATCTTGCGGGTGAAAACTTTGCATTGGTGCGATCAAGCGCCTCGCTTGAGCCCCTCACACTCCGGCGAAGAAACCAATCTCCCCAGACGTGTTCAACCTGAAGAAGAGCTCCATCACCGTAGCCTCCAGAATTTCTTTTATTAAAAGACAGACCATAAGACTTTGCTACTGGATTACTGCATCTGCATTAGAGCCTCGTTCGCTTTTAGGCGTTACGTTAGAACTCACACGTTATTACATAAGAGTAAGAGTGGAAGAGTCTTTCTAAAGCTCTGCAACCCCGCTCCTCCACAGACTGTACGTACAGAATATCGGTAGGGTTTCTATTGCATTTTTAGGTAAAAAGCAACCTATTATATAATAGAAGCACACTAGGGCATCAGTCGGCGAAAGTGATCATTTCATTTCTTCCTGCGCGTTGTATTTTCTGTTCTTTAACCCAGGGGTAGCTGTGGAAATCGCTGTCTTTAAACGATCCAATGATGAAATGTTGTGTAAGGTGCCAGTTTCAGGGCAGACAGCTCTTACGAAACTGAGGTTTACCGGTGAGAGTTGTTCATGTTCATGCGGTATCCACAGTGTCCGGAACAAACCGCGCTCCGTTTGTCGACATCCAACTCTGCCACCCTTTCTTCAGTTGGGGCTTTTAATTGAGAAGAGTTGCACAGTCTTTCAAAAAGTCAACCAAACCAACCGCTACCCACGGGCTTTTATCGTGGTCCCTTACTTTTTAAATTCTTGAGATATATATTCATTCACTTCACCATTTCAATTCCATACAGACTAAAGTTTCTGCCAGGTTTATTTGAAGGGCACTAGAATGACCCTGCTGTATTGTGTTTTGCCCTGTGATTACTGTCTCCCGTTATGCTTCTGGTAGCATGTCTATAGAACTTCTCACTAGCACTTTCTAAATGAATAACTGTTTGTTTTATTTCTATTGCTACACGCTTGGGGTCTGGAATTTACAAATTGTGGAGAATATGACATGAATATGACCAGCTGGTTGTGATATCTGTTTGTTATTCAAGTGCATAATAAAGATGAATAATTTCCCTCCTTAAGTAAGTGATACCATGGGTCTCTATTTTCCAAGGCTTGATAATAGAGAAAATAACCAGGACCCAACCTAGACAAGACAATATTTATTAACAATAAGTTACACACATCACTCAGTACACACCAGTTACACTACTAAGAAAGGTCACACTGATATTTCCAATTTTGTGAATTTCAGTGCTTCTGTAGGCCAAGAGAATCCAAGAAGTCAGTCGCTATAATTTAAATATACAATACACTGCAACAAGCCACAGAGAGAGACCTTCATCCTAATAAACAAAATGGATCCTAAACAGGACTAAATCTCCCTCGTTAAACAGATGCTCACTGAAGAATGGGTAACGCTTCCCTGTTCTAAACATACTGTAGGCATCACTAGAAGAGAGATGTTTTAGCCTGCAGATTCCACAATAAAGGAAATCAGAATTTCCACATAAATAAGACAGCAAGCCTTCATGTAGTTACAAGGCTCAGTATCTGGTTCTCCTTTTGTGTTCAAACCACCTGGACAGAATCCAGATGCCAGTTTCAAGTCTGATTGGAAAAGGAGATCCCTCACAGCATCCAGCACAGTAACTGATTATATTTTCCCTCCCCATCTCTCTCCCTATTCTCTTTTATTTCTGCTCTGGTCCATTCCTATGGACAAATGTCAGCCTTGATTATTTATTCTTTTTGATTTGCAGTGAAGTTAATTAACCTCAGTGAATAATTAGAATCATTAATATCATCTTTCGTGTTTCATTGTTTCGTTGCCCATTGACAGCTTCTCAAACACAGGGAAACAATATTTATTTTATGAATTTTACGTAAAGTTTTGTCACCAGCCTGTGTACTTTTAGCTGGTACTGTATAACCTGGTATAAGCTCTCCTGATGGGCTGGATAAACTGACAATTTGTAGTTTTTTTTATGAGTGAAGATCATGAAGGAACATGACCTCAAGTACTCAGTAATCTCAAGGGCACTAAAAATCCCACCCAGTGGCTCTCTTCCGAATCACCAGTGAAATACAAAGCAGAGGACATACAGTAAGTGGTAACTCTGGGGGAGTGAGTTTACGACAGCAGAAAGGAGACATGTTTCTGCAAGAAGGTGGGTGGGAGTGTGGAACAAGCTCACCAGCTCTGTAGTAGCCCGACTTTTGCCAAGAAAGGCTGGACGAGATCGGTGGATCACAAAACTACTACCAAACCGGCTACATGGGTAGAACAGCCTCCTCTCATTTGGAACAGTTCATGGGTTTTAATGTTCTAAGCAAGACCAGGCCTGGTCAGCAGTAGGTCAGTAGTGGGGCAAAGACCTCCAAGAGAAAACATAGTCGCTACTGTGAATGGTGGCGGACCAGTAAGTGGAATGCTGCATGTTGGAGCAGCTAAGAGTATTTGTATTAATACTGACTTTCTGAATTTCTATTCTGAGTCTGTCTCCATTCCCACCCCTCCCCCGATCTGTGCAATGGCTGCTGTGAAATCCATAAAGAAACATATTATGTACGTCTCATATATCTGAATGAGTGCAGAGCTTTTGTGGAATAGTTATACATATTAATGAGTGACTTCTCTTACTTTAATAATACAAGAATGAAAATGTAAAAATCTCTTTTATTTCAGATTGGAGCACTTGAGAATCATTATTTGTTTAAGCATAAAAGTCATCCAAAAAGGTCAAGAAGAAGTGCAGATCACATCTCCAAGAGGCTGTCAGAAGACGAAAGGGTAAGCTGTTTCAGTCTCTGCGTAGAAGTCACCTGAATCGTTTTTTATTTATTCATCCGGGATGTTATACATTTTGCAAAAAGTCTTGTTTTAATGAACCACACTGCACACAGCATGGTCTGAGTGTCCATTATTGAAGGTCTGGAAAATGTTTTGGCTTTCATCAATGTTTCATCATTCTATTCATGGGCCTTAGCAACTAGTCATCTAAAATTGATCAGCACTTCTATTTCTGAATCACCAAAAAGTGTCAATTATAACTACAGCATGCACTGTATGATTTCTGATAATCCATTTTCCTCAAATGCTCCACTTTTTCTTTGCATGAAAATCAAGACAAGGGCGTTATTGTGCGGCGCCAAGTAACGTGATTGTTTTCTTTCTAACGCTGGGGCTGGTCGCTCTGATTTAGTGCTACTCTCCATTACACACTTGGTCATTCACTCTGAACAATGCAGGTGCGTATCTACACAGATTAGTCCAGGCGGGATGAGCTCTCCAGGCAGAGAAAGCATTGGACCAAGATGTGGTGTTTGATCTGTGATGTGGGGCTGCCAGGTTGCTTGCTGAATGAGGTGGGCTGGAGTCCTTGATTAGTTGTCACCAGTTGCCTGGAGGGGAGGAGGACATTCTCACTAGTCCCATCTGAAAGCCACATCCTGAATTCCTCTGCCCATCCCTGGCCCACACAGTTCAATACCACACAAATACAGTGTGCACCTCATCTCCCCATTGTGTGCATCCCCTCTGAGTAAACCCATGAGGAATAATTGCATTTGCAGTTTCTGACTATGGGACTGACATTATTTTGCCTGCTGCTCAGGTTCTCACAGACTGAACAGGCCACTGGTTTCAAAATGCTTCATCCTGTCAGCTGTGAAATGTGCGTTTTGCAGGTACACGTTATATCACACGAGTGAGTGATCTCTACAGAAATTTGCTCTCGGGTCTTTTCCTCTGTTACTGTGCACTATCCTGGAAGTTCTTCTGGAGGCTGAGGGCAGCTCCCTCCTCAGATTTCAAAGGAAAAGTGTGAGTTAGTTTCCTTACGCTGCCTGCAAAGATGGTTGTGTTTTGTTACCGATAGAATTAAACCAAATCAAAGAAGGTATCTGCTAATGACTGTGTCCCTTTCCTTCCTTTTAAATCAGGATGAAAGTACTGTGGAGGCAGCACACATTCGCACTAATAAAGCCAGGCTGCTTTCCATAAGAATAAAAACCAGACCTGCAATTACAACACATTTTCATAGATCCAGGCTCTTCCGGCTTTCATCTCTCTTCCTGAATTTATGGAATAAGATTAATAAGCCTGATTCATGTTATCACAAAGCATTTTTGAGAACTAACAATAGCAAACATCTTCTGGTTATTAAAAATACATGCTGTACGCTGAAATGCCTTTTTTCACACTAACACCTGCCAGCCGGACAGTACGTCCGACAGTACACTGGAGCTGTGCTGCTGGTCCTGGTCCTTCCACACAAACGCTCCTGTGAATGAAGGGCTGAACATTGTTCTTCATGAGTGAATGAAATGAAATGGAAGAACATGAATGCATGAGTGAAATGGAAAGGAATCACTGCTGGAAGAGAAGTAACCGATTCTAGCGTATGTTTCAGCGTCTGAGAGCTTTAAGAGCCCGTGTTGCTGTGAGGCAGGGGACTGACAGACATCTGTGTTGGCAGCACTGATATAAGGCAGCCCTGCAGTCAGGATCTGCTGCATCTCAGCAATCATGCATTTCCAGAATGATTTCAGTAACCGAGCAGGAGTCACAAAGGAAACTGTTCCAGTCAGCAGAAAATATTCTCCTTGGGACTTTGTTGTGGGTGAGAAAAAGCACGTTTTCAGACCACAGTGATTTTCAATCATTTTACAGAGGTCAGTGCAGATGTAGAGGGGTATCTGAAACAACACTGGATCTGTTGAATAGTATTTATTTTCGTTTCAACTTTTTCTCCTCAAAAAGAATAGAATACATTGTTGTTGACTATTATTGTAATTGCTATTGTTATTACTTGACCTGCTATTACTACAGCCAATCTTCTAATGGCTACTGTAACTGTCAGTCTGCGCTGACTAATAATATTACAATTACATTGCCCTGTCGCACAACACCTGGCACATAAAGGAGCAGACACAAACACTGATTGAAAATGGGCTCAGGTTGCATGAATAACAGTAGCTCTGTTTTAGAAGGATGGGGTTCCCCTTCTTTAATGGCAGGGCTCCACAAAGAATTCCTCCCAGCAATAGCACTGGAGATGATACACTGGTAACGCGAGGTGCTGACCACCTGGCTGTTTCTAAAATGTCCCTCTCAGCACCCCGCTGTGCTGGCGTGGTGCCCTGTGTCTGCCCCCCTGACGCAGCCCGTGTTCTCTGTGCGCCAGGTGTCCTGGGCGGAGCAGCAGTACGGGAAGCAGAGGAGGAAGCGTGTGGCTCTGGGGGCGTGTGCGGACTGCTCGGTGGAGAAGCTGTTCGATGACCCCATGTGGAATCAGCAGTGGTACCTGGTGAGTGATTCACAGCACAGAGTCTTCTCCTGTGACTCTCTGCATGCATTACAGTCATTCTGGAAGAGTTTTTATAATCTGAGTACAGCCCCCGGTCGACCTCTTGTGTTAACTCCTGCGTGTTTATTCAGAACGCACAAGAAGATTGCTGCGCCGCGTACAGCAGTCTTTCTGACAACGATCATCCCCACCGTCCTGTTGCTCTGAAGCATCACAAGCTGGCTCTGCAAACACTCCGCACAAGAGGTGACTGTGCCTCCAGCCCAGCATGTGCAGGGCACGCAGATCAAACCCCACTGCGGGAAACTGGATCTATCAGAGATCTAAAGGGACAGGTAGCAGGGGGCTGTGGGAGCTGCTTACGTGTTCACGTCTGGGACACATAGACTCTGTAAGGTCAGCGGCTTTCATTCTGCCCTGAGAGCCAGTGTCCCTATACCCAGCCTGGGCGGAGGCTGCTAGTGTTGTGAGACCTCTCTCCTCCAGGGTGCGAGTGGGCTGGGGGATAATGTGCACTGAGGAGACGCTGCTGTCCAGCTGGTTTTACTTTGCCAAGTCTTTTCTCATGCCATTGATTGAGCAGTTGTGATTACCCTTTGAAAAGAAAACATTCTAGAAACACCTGCTCTAAAATACACCGGCACATCAACAGGACAAGAAATGACTTATTTCACATTAGCTGCTATTTATTATAACCCCAGTAGTACTCTAAAATGATATGAAATAGTTTCTGTGGCCTTGGAAAGAATGCATTGTTTCCCAACAGGTGGATTTTTGGCAGGGAGAGAGGGGTAGAGCACCGTTCAGTATATCACACACCTGAAGACATGCCTGCGTCATTAAACCTGTTGACAGGGCAAAACAAGGTCAAACCAGATTTTATTTCTACAGAAAGTTTGTAATTATCATTGTAAGTGCTCTCTCTGTAGTTCTGAAACATCAGTGGGTTTAAATGGCCTCTCTGGAACAGAGCTCAGACTGTGGAGGCGGCTGCTAAGCATGTCGCTCCGTTTCGGCCGTCAGAAGGTGAGTCTCACTCCACCTTTCCCGGAGAGTGGACCTCTCATGGAGTGAAGTCTCCCAGGCTTTCACATACCCTGTTCCCACGGTCACTTCTTTCCCAGGAGCTCACCCGATTGGAAAATATGCAAATGGGAAAATACTGTGCTGCTGTTCTGTGACCCTTGCCCTCTCGTGCGGCGAGCACAAGCTCTATGAGCCACAGAGGGCACCAGGACACTGAAGCCCTCTGGAACAGGGTCTAAATCCAGGAGGAATTTGTCTGAAATGGAGGTTTTTCCTCTTGCTGTTGCTGTTGGTTTTGGTATCTTCCGCATGTTGTTCAAGCCAAAAGAAATGAACCTACAGAAAGTCCCAGGAAGCAGAAAGCACACTCGCATGGCATGCAGTCCCTAGAAACACTGACAGCACATCACCAGGATAACAAGCCTGTCTCTTTCCTATCATTAAGGCATGCAGCAGGGCCATTAAGAAGCCTTTAACAACATGATCTTTGTCCTAATAAAATGAAAGCAGGTCAGTTTCCTAGGAAGTCTGTGATAAGCACACAGTCTGCACTCTGATACCCCCTGCTCCTGCTTATTTTAGTCATTGTTTTCTATGATGAATAGCATTGATTTATTTTCCTCCTTAGTGCTTTGCGCTTGTCGCAGCTCCAACCTCGGCTCCAGCAGGTTTCAGACGTGTTTCAGACACAGCTTCTCTGTTCCTCAAGCATCTTGATGTTATTCTGACACCTGTCTCCTTCAGCACCCTGCTGCTCCTCCACAGTCCGCCTGGCAGTCGTGCTTGTGGACAGTGCCTGCAGGCAGATGGATCTGATTAAAAGTCTTTAATACCACAGCTCCACGCACTGATGTGTAGGGTAGCTGAGCTCCACTTCCCCAGTCCCTGCCCTCTTAAAGCTCTGTTTCAGACTGAAGCACTCACTGTTTCAATACACGCCAGGATTCTCACTCCAGATTTATGGCAGAAAAACAAACAGAACTGTCATTTGAGACTTTCAAGTCATTTTTATTGCTCTTCCACATTATGAGCTAGCAGCTCTATCACCCTGCAGCTCCCAGCTGGCAGCCCACTGAAGCCCAGCAGCTGTGAGCCTGGCCAGTACCTGGATGGGAGACCATGCTGTTCTTTATATGAGACGTAAAAAAGAGGTCCTAACCGTCCAGTAAAAATCATTAAAAATCACAGGGTGCTTCTTGAAAAGAGTAGGGGTGTTACCGCAGTGTCTTGGTCGAATTTCCCCCTGGCCTTTTACAGTCATGGCCTCCTAATAATCCCCATCTCTGAACTGGCTTCATTATTCTCCTCCCCACTGAGAGCTGGTGTGTGGGGAGCATACTGGTGCACTCTGGCTGCTGGCTGCACACTGGTGGGGGTGGAGGGGATCCCCATTACCTGTAAAGCTCTTTGAGTGGAGTGTCCAGAAAAGCACTGTATTATTATTATTGTATGTTTCTGTTTCTCATCTGTAGGGTTTTCAACACTGATTCAGTGTGAGAATACAAGTCAGAAAAGTATTGATAGATACAGATTTTTTCACAAACACATCTTTCGTGATCCACAATACATTACTGCTGTGCTAGACACCTCCTACCATCTACCTTCAATCCCCTGGAAATGCTTGTCTTGCTGTGTTCCCTCCATGAAAGGTTAGTTAAAATAACATCTCTTGTTCAGATGCTCGATTCAGGCCAACATCAGATTTAATTAGTGCTCTTAGGCTTCAGTTGTAATTAGGGGTGGTAATTAAAATGTCTTTTAAGTGCAGTCATGTTCTTTCCCTAACGTCAGCGGTTGCAGCAGAGGAAATGACCAGAACTGATTCTGTCACACGTGCCTGCCAGCTCTCATTCGAGTGCAGTGCCTGTGTCACAGGCTGCCTCTTGACAGTGTGACTCATGGCTGCCTCACGACACGAGACCCTGGCTGTTTTCAGGACGGCAGCAGATAGCTTGTGGTATGCACGCAGCACAGACATTCAACAGGGGAGAGTCAAATTTCAGAGACTAGAACAGCCTGTTGATAATGTAATGTAATCGGATATTGATACATTCACACTGCTTGCTTTTAAAAAACATTTGTGATTCACCGATGAGGGTGACAGACAGTGGGCCTCCTGGAACATCATGACAAGTAAGCCACTCTGAAGCAGGGTGAGGCTGAGGCAGGTATTACAAGGCTCTTGGGGATTTGTGCCAGTGCTGATAGCCCTTTCTGCACTCATTTAATGAGTCAGTGAGTCCTACAGTGGTCTGGCAGTCATTGCAGAAAGGTTCTGTTCAGGTGTTTGCTAATATATGTGCTATTGAACAGAACAAACCCAGGCATGACAGACACAGGCTTTTGACAAATCATTTCCTTTTACAAAGAAAAAGCGAACCCCCAGTTGAAATATATTAGATTCATTTACTTTATTTTTTAATTGGATTTGCTTGTATCCGAAGGGTATAGCCTGCCCACTCAGGCAACTTACCAGAGATGAACAGACTTTTGAAAGAGACCTGCAGCTGCTCGGACTGTATTAACGGTCCTAAAGTGTGGATTTCGGCCTTCAGGTGCTGAGACTCAGGGCCTGGTGTGCTACCATCAGTGCATAAAATCACACCACATTTGGTGCAGTGACTGCTGAAATATCTATTCTTTCCCTGACACTTCTATCTAAACAATATTTTACAGCTAAGTGTTTAAGAGAAGCATTATATCTGACACCTGTCTCCTTCAACACCCTGCGGCTCCACCTGGGATTTTAAACCCACAATCTTCCCATTTCAGGTCCAACACCCTGACCATTAGTATATTTCTACACTGCAAACGACATGGTTGCTTAGTAAAACTTTAATTTGACTCGATCTTGTTACTGTGTGTGCAGTAGCATTCGTGAAAGTTCTTCTTGAAGAAATGCTCTGTATGATACTCATTTTCACACTGCTTGGACAAATCCAGCCTATTCCACATCGTCTCTGAGCGCCATAGTGGAGCACACACCTGTTTCAGACACAAACGCTGAACGTGATGTGGAAATGGGCTGCCTGATTGCCAGGGAGTCTGTGCTGTAGTGAAGCGGGCAGCACACAGTGTGACAGTCCGCATCATCTGCCCACTCTTCCAGCTCTGGGCTAATATTCCCAGCTAGCAGCGGCAGTTATTCACCTTTTGAGCTGCAACCATCACCCAGATGATCTCAGGAGTGGTAATATTTTCCACTGCTCTCCCCGACAGGAGCACTCTTAACTTGCTACGACAGCTGCACTCTTGTCAAATGCACAAAAATTCATCAATCTTGGACAAGGCGTGAGAAATATTAGAAATCTTGAGAACCAGGCACAGATGGAAAAACAAAACACATTTTGGAACCAGACCTTGAAGTTCTCAACCCAAAGGGTAGTGGGAGTGCACAACAAGCCACCCACCCATACTGTCGAAGCTGATACCCCAAAACCTCTAAAAAGAGCAGCTGGATGAGTACATCAGATCAATAGGCTGCTAGCAACTCGCAGACAAAACAGTCTCTTCTTCTTAAGTATATTTATGTATGACACATATCTTTGCTAATTTATTTTGCTGACACTTTTATCCAAAGCAATTAACATCTTCAGCTGGTTGCAGATGTTCATAGAGCAATGAGGGTGATCGGGGTACCTGGCTCAAGGGCATGACAACAGTGTTTCACCTGAGATTTGAACCCATGACCGTCCAGTGTACAAGTCCAGGACCCTGACCACTGCTCACACTGCAGCCCCTACCCAGCGGTTTGAGAGACAGGAGGTTTTCAGCTGCCAGGCAGCTGTAATCTGCTCTGCTGGCTGTCTCACAACATCCCTCTTCACCACAGTCTGCTCTCTGGGGATACTGTCTCATTTTCTTGTGCATTGCAACAGATATATCATCGGCTCTATAGTTTTCAAAACAAAAGGCAGGCTGGAGATTGGATACAGCATGAGCTGCCTGCTTAATCATTGTGCTCTGAGAGTGCAGGCTGAAGTAGCTGGAGCATTCATAATTTAATCAAAAATCTTTTTTTCAAGTGTTGTCATGGAGAAGAGGAACTATGGGGGATGAGGCGTGCTCGTTACACTGTGGCCTATTAAGTCTTTGATTGCTTTGCTGAGCGATATGCTTTGCCGTGAGAGCCAGTGCAGGAATCTTCGTGCGAGGGAGGAAACTTTTCCCGTCTGTGAAAATGTTGCCTCATGGTGGGTTTTAGATGTGAGTGTGTGTGTGAGTGGTGTGGCGGTGGGTCTGTGGGAGTATGGGAATGTCTGTGGGTGGGGTGGTTGAGTGTGTCAGTGTGGGAGTGGGTGTGTGT